TAATTCATTCCTCCAACATGGCCGCCGGTCTTATCTTTTGAATCTCATGGGAATGATTGAAAATGATCAATTGTCAAAGGAAACAGTGGTTATTCGCTTAAAATTCGAAAATGGAGTATTTGTCATTAGGCTGTCATTATGGTCTTACCTTTAGACCTTTTGGAAATCCTATTGTTTCGACTGCATGAGGTAGTTTGACATCATAACCATACGCCGCAAAWAGTTGCTTWAGATTGACAGGTCCTAAYTTGCCATAAAAATAATGTTGACTGATGTCTTGCGAAAGACCAAGAAACACYTGACCAGTGATACAGCTCGCCTGTGAAATATAAGGAGATGCTTATTWAGATCAAATGGAYTTTAATTTATACCCATAGACCAGTCCAACACCTCAAAACAGTTGTGTAAACAATTAATTTCAAAGTATTTTGTACCTTTGTTGGCGACTTGTTAAATTGCGGGCAACCAGCACCAAAATATAGATCACCTCTTGTATTCAGTACATGTTTAGTTTCTGAATTTGATGGGCCAGTTGGAAGTGAAAATCTGCCGAAGAAATAACAGCATTTAGTGTTTGCCGCAAAATTTATGCTATGAAAGGTTATTGGTGAGACTAAGGGTGCTTTCCATTTAGGCAGAACTGGGCGGCCAGTCCACTCTATTTGGAGGTATATAATGGTTGTCAACATTTTTCAGTCATTTCGAGGTTTTCTGTAGAATTATGGATAGAATTTGAAAATTTGAATTTCCTAACTAAATGGGAATGATATATAATGACATTTTCTCTGGGTCTGGCCAGCCAGTTCTGACAAATGGAAAGCGTATTAAGTATGGCGATAAATGATGAAAATGATTGATGGAGACTGAGTATGATATAAAGAATTATTGATGAAGGCTCAGTATGATATGAAGAGTTATTGGCGAGACTGAGTACGATACAAAAATTTATTGATCAAGGCTTAGTATGATATGAAGAGTTATTGGTTGAGTCAGAATACGATATGTAGTGCAAATATTGGATGAGGCTCAGTATGAAATGAAGAGTTCCGGTTGGGGGCTGAGTAGAATATGAAGAATTACTGGTGGTGGCTGAGTATGATACGAAAAACATTCTCCGGTTCAGAAAGGTTACATCATGGAAGCTAAGACCAAGGAGGTAGTTGGACTCACACTTTCTTGCCTTGAATATTAATTCTGTGTAAACCGTGTTGTGAAACCGAAGCACCGTTATACACAAGTATAAGCCTAATTTTTTGCATTCCAAGACTGTCTTTCGGTTTTCGCACGCTTCCATTATATGTAACTTTTAAACTCAACCACCTTTTTACAATAGGCCTTTTGCATTTAACGATCACATGGTACTAAATCCGCCATACTTGAGGGCAAAGTTCCCACTGGGACAAGTGTTCACAAAAAATAAAAGTTAAGCTTATCGGGCTGCGTTCATTTGTTTTTGAGGTTGTTCACATTCTTTTGCAATCCAGTATGGCGGATTAGTACCTTGTGACTGTGAAATGCAAAAGGCCTATTACTGCAAGTATACATAAATCAATATATTATAAATAACCAAAGTAGATTGGCAAATACCTTGCATGAAGGTTTCTAAGTGTTAGGTATTTGATGCCAAGTGCGTTTACCCAATCCTGATTGACCTGAAAAACGCCGTTAAGCTTGGACAGGACGCCATCATAATCTAGTTTTCCATCCAAGAAGAGGTTTTCTTTGCTTGTGTTTGACATTTTAATAAAACCGTTGGCTTTGAAGCTCAGCAAGGGAAGGACATCAATAAGTGTCATATTCCCTTTGACAACCTACAATCAATCAATCAATCAATTGCTTTATGGCATAATGACGTCACAGTATGCTGAGAAAGACTCGAAATTTGAACCTATTAATATTTATTTTTTCAAAAAGACGAACTTCAGTGTCGAGTTTTGATGGCATCATTTATCAATGATAGCTCATGTACATTTTATTTGATATGCAGTCACTCTGATCCCCTCTGGCGACCATAATCCTTTGCAATAAAACCATAGATATAATTATTAATAAATAGATGAATAAATCCATGATTGAATAAGCGTTGTTCTGAATTATTAGGAAAACTTACGTTCATTGAGAGTTTAACTGTCTTGTACTTGATCAAAGCATGATGGGATGCCTTGTCGAAACCAATGTCAAACGACACTTGATCTGCATTTGATATGATCTTCACTTTGAACAAACTGTCTTGTCCAAAAATCACTTTCACAAGTTCACAAAATCGATTCCCTTTACAGTGAGCTGGAACTCGAGTTTGTGCCACCATTGTGAGTCCAGCAGGGATGGAGCCTTCAAGGCTACTGTTCAGTGGTTCTCCTTTTATTTGAAGGTTAGAATCGGCTTGTAGATTTGCTGTTGATAGTAGGACGCCAACCTTACAAAATAGACGAGGAACAGTTGTTAAGGACAACAATAGTTTTTGTCTGTGTTGTATCCTATCCTGCGGGCAGTCGAACTCAAATTGTGTTATGTGTCGGTCTGCGAATCAACGACGAAGGTCGTGTTCCATGCACCGGGCTATGTGTACTTCACTCTTATTGGCTGTTTAGTTTTGACTTCTAAAGAGTACATGCTATTTTTCCTTTTCGCGTTACTGTATCCAATAAGCAGGCTTGTTAGAACTAAAAAGTAAACAGCTAATGAGTGCGAACGACATATATCCCGGTACAATCTTTGTCGCACGAAGCTATATTGCAGACGAACAAAACAAAGCAAGCTTAGTTATCCCAGGCAAAAGAAAAATGCGGTTGCGCTTGATCACCGAAAACCGATAGACATTTTTGACATTGCTGAGCGATTCAAAACTGTTTTTTATTACAAGATAAAATTTAATTGACCACCAAACAATCTAAATGCTTAGATACTAAACGCGTTCAAACTCTATACCCAACCGGCAACATTCATAGCCATCAATCAAGGTATAGCCAAATGCATTCAAACCCAATCCAAAATGTTTGGTGATTCATCCAAGAATATTCAACACAATTAAACAAGGTACACTCGGAAAGTTAATGGTTRATTCGGCCAACAACATGTATATCAGAGGGTATTTGGTGCTCCGACGTGCTCGTTTGACCGTACTTACAATGCCAAACAGATTCCGATATCTCATAACGTCACTTACCTTTGACTCATTACTGCTCTGCCTCATCCAATCAAATGATGGGAGGTTAACCCCAGCGTATATCCTCAACGCCTCGTTAAATGCAAGACCTTGAGTTGACAGACTTGTCRCCAGTACATCCGAGTTTGAAAGCTTCCCACAGTGGAATTCCAAGAAAGTTGGAAGCCCTTCAGCTCCCAAATACGACTGACCACTGAACTTGACAGTAAGATCCTTATCGATGTAGACCTCGATAGATGGGTTAACCAGTCGCATCAATAGAAGCTCTGACCGTCGAATGACGTCATGGATACTTGAAGATGTCTTAGCCAATCCAAAGACTCTCTCGACTGTGTTTATATCTAATGGAATGCTTGAATTTCCCGTGATCCTCATCGCACCATTAGGAAGAGTAACCAAGACAACATCAAAAACAGACTCGCAGAGACGGTATTTTCCTTTAGCCATGAACGTTCCTTTAGGGGAATGGTATCGATAAAAGAACGTGACGTTTTCAAGGTGAATCTTCGCATGCGCTTTGTATAAATCCGCTGTACCAAAAGGAACGAGAATCGTTTCAACAGATGAAAAACGATCAATTGTGACCTCGATCCCAGGAATGTTGACGCTTCGCGGTTGAATTTGGACGTAAGGTAGTGGTGAAGTGTTGTGATAATGTTTCCAGTCCCAAGTAAGAGATTTAAGGGTTGTATTGAGCGGTATGCAATAAACAGTTTTGGCATTTCTTTTTGTTTCTACAATTTGGCTTTGGAAAACTTTACTTTGAACAGTTAGCAATAATTTTGTGATGTCATTTGGTAGTTTGGCCATCAAAGGAGAATCAAACAGTTCTTTTGRACATAATTTGTATTTGGTGCTTAACGGCTTGATAGTAGAATGGTGTAAATCTAAGGAGACGAAGAAGGGTGAGTCAATTAAAAAAAAGAAAAATTACAAGTTGTCAATTACCTTTTTTCTTTGTTCTTTTCAGAAACGCTGAACATCTGTCTAAATCGCTGTTGGCTGGGTCATTTACTAGAAAAGAAGAAACGAAGCTCAAAACCGTGCTAGTCGCTCTTTGAACACTGAATGCATCAATGAAAAATCTTTTTTTCGGAATGGATGGCCACCAACATGCAGCCCACCCTGGAATACAGTGAGTCATAAACAATAATGTTACACTGCCCTATCGCATAATGACATCACACCATGTTTACAGTGGATATAAATGCTCAAAAACTGTACAAATTCTCTCCCTCGCTTTTACTCAATTTTGATATGCAGCATGCATTAACGATTGCTCATGAATGTTTTCTTCGATATGCAGAGTCATTCTATCTCCCTCTGTCGACCATAATCCTTAACGTTAAAACAATAGGATATTTGGTGGGACGTAGTTATGCAGATAGGTCAACTTATGTTATTATTAGGATAATATTAATACCATTGATTCCAAGGCTGATGCATTGTTGTTTTTTGCTGTTATATTGGTTTGGTGGAAGCGTGTAACACCTTGGTAGATCAAACGTGTCTTCCTTTATGACTTTAGCGAGTTGAAATTCCTTTGAGCACACTCTCCCTTGAAGTATCTCACACTGAAGTCTGAAGTGAAAGGCACATATACTATAGTTGTTAGTATATAAGTCGACTATTAATGTCATAAGAATGTTGCTTTATACGCCTTTTCCTTGTTTTCATTTGTCAATCAAAAATGATCCATCCATCAATCAAAGCCGTCACAACCCAATAAGCGTTCGCTAATCAAATTCATCCAACCCATGCATTCCTGCAACTCAATACAAACATCCCTCCCTCCAACCCTTCTTCCTTTCTCCCGTTTGTGTTCTTGCACTTGAAGCCGCTATACGATGTTAATAGTGATGCACTATGGGATTGTACAAACTGTCATGATGTTGTATGTCGGACTGTACTTTTTGTGAACAAGCATAACGACTAGTCTTTGAGTATACTATGTATTGTGCAGCTCAGCCCCATTTCGAATCATCTGTCTTTTATACAAAACATCCGCCATCTCAATACCGGTAACATGATGCACTTCGCCGAAAAAAAAATGACGTCATGAGATTAAAGAAGTATCATTCTTTTAAAACAACTAGTCTTGCTTACCTGCAAATATGCTTTGGTTTTGGAACGGGGTCATTAGAACAGGGAGAAAATACGTGGTAACATAATGCTTTCTTGAGATAAATCCCACAGTTGCTTGATATGTATCCCTGAAGTCGATGAAACAATCGACCAAGTCTCTTCTCAGCTTTAATTTGTGTTTGATTTCCATGAATGACAATTGTTGTACCAGAAGTAATGTATTCCTTGCAGAATTGACCATTATAACTTGTACATTGATTACTAGAAATGGGAATTTTAGCAATTTTAATATAAAAACGACGGGGTACATGATATTGAACGATGCTGATCATTTCATTTGTGATCTCTATCGAAAGAGTAACACATTCTCCAGTTACGTTACGGCACAGCCGCCATGTTGGATGAAAATAACAGCGGCTTCTTAGTTAGTCTGCCTTGTTTAGTCATCCAAAAATGGCAGCAGTTTAAAAGTTGAAGTATCGTGTAAAATTATGAATCAAAAACCAACCTATAACCAACTATTTGATTATTTGGCTATTAATAGCTTTGTTCTTATGTTCACATGAGTTGTATGGTCAGCCAAAGACATGATAACATCCAATACCTTAGATGATGGTGGGTATAGTCTGGTGGTGGTTTAACACTAGGAGAGATGGTCTTCTTGTGTATAGGTTTGTTATAGCCTAAAATATGTCAAAAAAGTCAAGTTTTGTAAAAGTCAGGGTGAAATAGCCCATATCTACTCAAATATAACTGTCTATTCATAGTGTATATTCCATATTTTATTACTAATATGCTCTTATATGATTTCAGAACGTTTCCCACCAAATTTTATTTTAAAACAATTTTAAACAATTTAAAACAGTTAAAATTGTTTCCTTGTACATACCAAAAACCTGCTGGCAGTTGGAATCAGGTTGCCTGGCAACCGATGGCAAATTCGCGCACGTGACTATCCTGCGCCAGAATGGACCAAATCGTGGAATGTCTTTACGACACGCTCTTTTTTCCAGTTCATGGCAGTCTTCCCGGCACACCTTTCGAGGTTTATTGTTGCTGTTCAAAGTGCATGATGGGTAATTCTTGCGGCATAAATATCGGSTGAGCTGTTTTATGCATTTTGGACTAGCAATGCCTTTGAGTGAGTTGAYAGTTTTTGAGATCGACTTTTCAATTTTGTKCTGACTTTGTCCGTATGARAGATGGAACAGGTTGGTGTTGCATAGCGATCCAGTGTACACCTCACACCTTCGTCGAAAAGAGAGAGAAACAATTAAATAAAGTTTCAGAATTTCCYTTTGAAATTTTCTCAGATTTCTTGAAAAAAAGAAGCTAAAAGTATAGTATTGTCACATAAAAAAAAACAAATAGTGTGACTGATACCGCAATATAATTTAGATTAGAAAAGAGCAAAACAATTATCTATTTAATTGATAAAGTTTTTCATGGTTTTAGTGTTTGCGTTCGAATTGACACCAATAACGAAAGAATGAGTGGATGAAAAAATTTAACGAATAAAAATTCGTATAGTCATTTGCATAAGTTCTGACCGCTGACTTTTATCACTATATCGGGTGCATCATGGGTAACTTCACGTGACTTTTGCTCTCCTCTTTCTAAATAAGAGTACAAAGCAATCAAGCTCTATGAAAATACTTATCAAAAGGGATCCCTAAGCATATTTTGGAACAGCAGCTACCTGAATATCATTTGATAGAATTTCTTAAAATGACTATAATATAATTACACAATAAGCAATCAAACAAATAAATATATTTACCTTCCTTTCTTATTATCTGTAAAAAAAAAGAAAAAAAAAAGAAAATTAGGAAACACACTCACCGGATTTCCACAGGGAGCCCATTTTATGTAAAATTCCGGGTTTATTCTGCCTGGCAGCTAAGCAAATCAACATGGCGGACAATTTCAAGAATCGAAAGCTTTGGACTTCAAGCGAAGAAAAATCAACAAAATTGATGTTAAAAAGACACCTAATTAAGGTAAATGAGATACTACATCATTTAGAGATAATAACCAAGCATAAGGGACTTTAATATACACGAAAACTTGTTGAGTTCATAGTTTTCGTTTGAAAAATACGATCGATAGTTACTGTATACAGTACTCGTTTTAACCAAAATGCTATGTCAGGCTATACTTTTTGGTCATTTTGGCATCTTCACGGCGAAAATATAAACCTATAACGTCTACACTGAAGACAATAAACCGCCAAAAAACTATCCCTGGCTTCCTGAGATAAATAATGGGTAAATAGTGGAAGTCAAAATTTCCATTTATTGTACGGAACAAATACAAATTGATTTAGCAAAATCCCTTTGGTTAGCCCTCAGTGTTGTGTTTGGGTTAGGTTCACCGATGAAAATAGTGGTTTAAGGCCTGATTACATTTATAATTGCTGGCCYGGTTGACTGGGATGATTTCTTTTGTATTAATTCCCCTTTTGGAAAAGAAAACAAAAGAATCCAGCCCATTTAGCCGGACCACCCCGCTTCATATAATCAATCCCCTAGCCTCCAATACCGGGTACGTAAATATACAACAATAACAACTAGCAATAGYAACAACAATAACATCAACAACCAACAACAACAGCTTTTAACAACAGCAGCARTAGTCTCCTTCACGGTTACCTGCGCCATCTTGAAAGGTAAYCGTGCCTTTGCATCGAAGCGAGACAACCGTTGAGTGTGCAATGATAGAAACCTTCTTTCACACCTACAGACAATTATTCACAGGTTTATATCATTGCACGCTCAACGGTTGTCTCGCTTCGATGCAAAGGCACGGTTACCTTTCAAGATGGCGCAGCCGTAACCGTGAAGGAGACTATTCCAACTAACCAGTCAGTTCCACCTACCTCTRATCTTAACGTAAGCAGGGGAAGAAACCCTATTACCATGCGGGTTTTTGGCTATACACCTGTATACCCCAGCATCGGACTKCTGTATGTTTCTAATGCGCAGGCGTGAYCCCCAATCGAAAAATCGTACTTTGATCCTTTTGTTTTCGTCGATAGTGATTCCATTTTTCTTCCATTTGATGCGGGGTTTTGGGTTCCCAGCTACACGGCATTTAAAGGAAGCCCCGTGACCAACGGATARCGTACGGTTTGTGAGGGTATTGAGAATTTCTGGACGATGATTGACTAGTAAAAAGACAATCAATACTTTGAAATACATAAATAATTTACTTATGGTATCGAGTTAATCGAGGTAATCGAGTTAATAAGGCCTACAGCTTACCATAGATCCAACTACAGGGGCCACTGGGTAAAGATTTCCCCTCCATAGCTTTTGCTTCTATTTTGTCCGCTTAATAAGCATTTATGAGGTGGAAAGCGCTATTCGATCTTTTCAGTACAACCGGCCCCATAAGTCTCGTTTTAAACAATTTACGAAAACAATTCATGAAATCTACGATAACTGAAACTATATATGACGCACGACAAACAATTCAGTTTGACGCAATACCAGTCGTCAGTTAATCGTACAGATTCATGTTCGATTGTGGTTCGATTGACGAATGGTAGTTTGATGGACTACACTGGGTATCTTCAGTGGTGGAACCTTACCTTGATAAGGAAGAAGCCATGGATAATGGCTTGAAGACTCATGYTTTATGACATGCCTTGAGGACGAAACTAACTAAAAMAGAAAACAACATGCAGTGATTTAGTGGCGAGTTAGTCTCGACACAAAAAAGCCGATTATATCCCAAGTTAATCTCTTGTTTTTATTAAGTATAAAAAATATATGTTAGATAAATGAGGGTGCATATAAGAAAAACGCCAGCTCTTATCTCCCAGTTTAATTGTTATTAATGAAGACGGGACATTTGCCCGCTTAATTGGAAAAAACTTTGTTTACTAAGCGTCAAAGCTTGCACGGGGTTATATTTTTTAACAACTTTTAGTCACTTTTTCAGATCACATAGGGAGCCAACTGGGCTACCTGTGGTAAGCCTAAAATCCCTTCCATTTAGCCTCTTATTCCCGTGGCGATAATATGATTATAAAGGAATCCTATTAAATCGATTGACTGGCAGACTGCCTGACGAGAACTTGACGTCTCCTTACTACTACCCGATAGGGGGTYGATGCACTTCTATCATGAAACATTCATGGCAGAAGATTCGTGCTGTTTTGCACAATATTTTTATTATATTTGTTACTGTATTCCAAGCAYGTAAAACATGTTTTGTCTTATAGTTTGTAATTGGGCCGGGCATCTTTCCAAAAGCTCTTTTTTATCCCGGCCAGTCTGAGCCCCAGCCCGGAGACTTATTGGAACCTGCTAGGGGTCAAAGGAAAACTGTACCTTAGCTATTCTAGAACATAGGTTAAATGTCGAAGGTATACTAAACGTAAAAAGAGGAAAACTAAGTCTTATTACTGTTCAGTAACAATTTTCTTCCGCTCTCATTGGTGGAGATTTGACCTCGTGACTTGCATAAGTGTCCGCAGCGGAGGGATACTATACGCGCATAGAGTCCTTACTAGCTTAAAAAAAACTTTTTGTGCGTTATTAAAAAATGCGTTTTCGGGCGGGTATTTGCTTTTTGGAACATCCAGTATCCGCGTGTAATTATCACAGCATATATAATRMYTTCGATTCAACACTATTGTGTAAACACCTCTAAAGCAGTCGTTACTCAATGGAGAATCTAAAACGCATCCGTGATACTTGTTATTGCATTTGACTGAATGGATGCATATGGAATTGAATAGGGGCTTTTTAAAAYCTTGTCAAAGTACAGCATCGAAATAATAGARACCTCAAGAAACAACACAATCTAAGCTTCGATAACAGCAATAACAAAAGACTCAAAAGACTCTTGACAGCACAGTAACAAAGCATACATAATGCAGTAACAGCAACAACAATAGCATCRACAACAAAACATCATCCAACACATCGTTAGAGAAAAAAAACAAAGGCAACAACTGACAAGGAATAACTGCTACTAATATAAACAACAACAACAACAATTACAAACCACCACTATCATCAGTACTACGACAACCACTACCACACAACTATTACAACACCAACTAACGCTACAGGAGCATTGACAACAAGAACAACAACATCCAACACACCGTTAGAGAAAAAAAACATGACCAACAACTGACAAGGAATAACTGCTACTAATATAAACAACAACAACAACATAAATTACAATGAAAACCAGCACTACGACAACAACTACCAAAACAACAACTACTACTAACAATAAGAATTATGAAAGAAGCAACAAAATCTTCATAGCTAAACTTSCACTTTACCAATACGAAAAGCACGAATATGCAATAACGGAAAAAGATAAGGGCACCATTAAAATGACACACGAATCGGAAAAGATGCCAACTAAGGGTATCCACTCACAAAAAAAAGGGAAAAACTTCACTATATCAGTTACATGCCGGAATATATATCTATTGGTACCTCGAGGGAATGTGTGCCTGACGCTTAACCCTAAGTTACTTAAAATTCCATCAAAAAATGCGAAGTTACGTGGAGGATTGACAGCATCCATCGTCGCCCGGTCGTCTACTCATTCTTGATATCCATGAATGAAAGCCTTCTATGGCGCCCTATAGTGGATATAGGCTTATTGCCATTTTAGGCCAATGGAATATTTTAGGAATTTCATTGAAAAGCAAAAAAACTTCAACACACGGAATAATATTTTCAGTTAGTTGAAATTTCCATTCTTTTCAAACACGCGAGGAATTTTATAGGACAGTTTGACTACATTATGCTAATGACTACCAGCTGAGTTCTTTGGGGCTCTAGTCATGAGGAAGGCTTTAAAAACAAATTATCTTTAAATCATCTCAATTTGGGAGCCAGTGTGACTTGTGTTTTGAAGAAATTAGACATATGTGGTATATTATGATTAATATATCGCTACAATATGACACTCGGTAGATGTTGAACGGTTTTCTTGCCGTATTATCGACCCACAGTGGAGCAAAAACTTATTGGTTGTCATATGTATATATGCAGTGCTATCTTATTGCCTAGTGATATATTATTCCCGGGTGCTTTATTATTCTCGGGTATACGGTAAATGTTTTAAAAATCCCCTTTGCTCGGCTTATGAAGAAAAAAATGTGAAATTCTAGTGGCGTTTATTTTCAATATCTTAAATCACACAATGTAGATAGAATTTTATTAATCAAAATTGCAGAAAAAAAGCTATATACAGGCATTGACTCCGGTATATGCTACATTCGGCGTAAGTAATGGAATTTATAATTGTAAAATATCGAGAAGAAAAACCAAGGTTATCATTAACAATAATTAATTTTTCAATAATATTTTTCGAAATGTAAAAGTGCTAAAATGCTTTTTACACGTCGTCTAATTGTAATAACTCCCAGGCTGACATTGTCACTTATGTTAAGGGATCATTGTGTAATAAGKTAATAACCCTAGTTTTATGGCAACAAAAGCTTGTTTTTCCAGATAACAAGCTCTGACTGGCTTTTTTATTCGAGAGGTTTGTAATTTCTGGGTGGTCTGTTAGGTACAGAACCGATAAACTCTAAGCTCAAGCAGTCGAAAAGCTTTCAACAGGTCACTGTTTGCGACAAATCACAATATTTGTAAAACAGATAACTAAAAGATTTTTGAATTTATAGCAGAATATTTCCATTCTTTAGGAGAAATACGCACTCCAGTTTCGAAATCTCTTTTTTTGCAAGCCTAGCTTTCAATCAAGCATAAATYTTTATTGTATTTATTTTTWWTGTATTCTTWGTTCACAGTGTGTCTGGATTACAATAGATTCTTTGCTTAATAAAAGAAATATTACATGCTTTCGWGGTTRAAACTGCACAYTATAAGATCTGGAACTACTGGAGTATTTAGCTATTTTATAAAAGCGGATGATAAATGGCAAATTTCTCACTAAAAAAAGGTGTCCAAAATAAGTCATCTTGTATCTGACGAAACAATACAGTGATTTTCTATAAGTAAATCAATGAAAATGTATTAGAATCTTGAAAATAAAAAAAAGTTACTGGTCTTTAGCCAATCACACAGATATYATATGCAGGTTTTTTGGCTTTTATTGTAAGGGTCTCGAGTTTATTACTCGCTTTGCTGTAGCAAAACATGATGTTTTTATATCAAAGGTTACCAATGAACTGAACATTTCTGACATTCTGAGGTTAAAATTTGTACAGTAATTATGTGAATTGAGATCGCGAAGTATCAGGGGTTTTATATAGCATTAGTGCATGCTTTAGGGTAATTGCTTTAGTGTTGAATTCTGTAAAACCAATTTGCGGCCATGTCTTTCAAACGCAACATTTCATAAAAGGATCAAATGAAACATGGCCGCTTATTTAGGACCAAAAAACTCCTTTGAAGTCCTTCTAAAATTAAACCAAAATTAAGACAATACTTTAAAAATAACTTGACCGAGCACATAATTTTATTTTGTTGAATGAATAAACACGGATCTACGTGTAATATAGTTTTATATGCAGTATGGGTGGTCTGCAAATGAAAAGCATTGTATGCCAGTAATTATTTAGTGTCAAGATCTTTATCATTACTGGAAATCAACAGTTTTTACGATAACTATCTTAGCGATAAATTGTTTTATTCCTTTATGATATAAATGATGCAGTTAGCTGTAGATTTGAATGTTATGATGAAGTTTTGCCAAGACAGTTTCAAAGTTTGTGCCGCGGGCAATGCGTCATCTCCGGAGCTGGTGTAAGAACATGGAATTTCTCTTCGCGTTTTGATGATGAAAAGTTTCTTAAGCATTACAATACGGCTCCAGACATAATTATTTTCAACTAATTGTGCGCTTAAYTAACATGCACAATAACTTTGTCATACAGTCTTTAGAAATTTGGAATAAACAATTCAATATTAAAACGACATAAAAATTTCTGTTTAGTGCATAATCGAGATGCAGTGAATCTTACACAACTCCAACTGTTCTTCTACAATAAAAGATTTTGTTTTTAATATTAATCAGAATTATTTTTAAGAAAAAATTAACAATTTTTCGCTCAGAAAATGTTTATCAGTGAAACCATTGAAAACGGAGATTGCGCACAGCATTAAGGGCACATCAATACATTTTCAACTTTAAAAGTTTTTCTTGCATGYTAAACACGTTTAGGAATGAAGTTGCTAGAACCTTCCATGATGGCTTGCATCGTGTGCTTGTGTCCTTGTCAGCAGGAATTCCTGTTCCTGTTTTTCTGCTTCGTTTTCACGTTTTTTTTAAAGAATTCCACTATTTTTTGTGTTGTCTTGGATTTATTGTCTCACGATGTTATGCTTGTTTTTATGGCTAGCGCTTTGGTCAAACTATCTCAAATTGAAACGGCAAATAAATAAACTTGGATGACATTCAGTCAAAAGCATCCGTTCCAGTTTGATTGGTAAAAGATTAGAAAATTCAGCTATAGCTCTACAAAATAACCTTTGTATAACTCMCCAAGGTTTGTTATGTGACTAGGAATGGTGTTTGGGTCTAAAAGAAAGCTGAGGTTATTATCCTAAAAGTTTACGTTCCTTTCTCTTACCTTGGGGCTGTGTGTATCGGGGCGAGCCCACGCGCCATTCAAGCCGATGTTCARAARCAAGACCAATATGAGGGCACACAAGGCCTTGCAAAGCGTCATCTCTTGATTAACTGGATAACCTGACTTTTGCTGTGAACTRTTTTATCGTCTTGAGGCGTATATRTAGATATATAGCAAGACTTGACTAGCTGATTGTTGCTGTGTGCTGATCACGGCGTGGTATGGCAATAACGGGGACTGCTGATCTATTTAACATAGATGAAGACCACACACAGTGAAGGGTGTCGTATGACAAGGCATGGACCCAACTCAGCCAGCCATGAAACACGAAGGAATAAGGAACACGAGTTTGGAGACAAGAAGACTAGACTTCAAGTCAATTATATCCCAATCGACTGGAGTGTATCCTGAGAATTCCATTGCAGTGATCACTTTTATAGTATGACCGATCGGATCAAATACCTCTTCAAATACTACGAGCAAAAATAAAAGGTTTAACTGAAGATTAGCCGTTTAGAWTTAATAAAACCATCCTACTACTCGAAATGATAACTCTATAATCTAAGGAATGCATTGGGTTTTTATTTGAACTCGTTTATGAAAAACACAATCAAACTGACCCAGAGTGACGTCATTGGGCTGAAAATCTTAAGAGCTTAKTTTGCGCAGCGCCTGGTTGTCTTGGTTGTATATTTTTTAAGCGTGGCTCTGTGTTTGAAGCGTGTTTAGCTTTATTGTAAGATGATAGGCTTGTGTCAGTGATGAACGAATTCCCATAACCACATTTAGGACATTCCATTGTCAAAGTATGGCGCGGGAAAGAGCGGAACCATTGTCATGACAAGACTCTTGAAAAATAACCGAAAATTTGCAGCTTAAGTGAGAACCGGTTGAGCTCATCGAAGAATAATTTCAAGCTCTTGAGTTGAGGTTTGAGATACTCGAGTTCAGCGATTTTGAAAAGCCGCATTGAAGAGTAGTGGMCGATTGCTGCATTTTCTCTTCAGGAATGTTTGGCTGAAAAAGTCCAGCCCATTYACATTTGAAGTGCAGACATTTTCAAAACATTTGTACAAATGAATTARATTTTGTGGARCSGCGTTATYGTCTCWTMTTGCAATGATTTTTATTTATTAATGAGCTATAAAAWCCTTAGAAATAAAGTACGTTTAAAAATATCAATTTACTATTTATCTCTTGSCTTTCATGGGTTTAGTACCTTAGATAAGTACGTTATGCTTTGATTGCTTGATTAATTACAATTTTCTTCCACATAATGAATTGTAGAAGTCACTATAAGTCCGTGAAACAAAATCGACTATTCAAGTGTGATAATCAATCAGACAAAAAAAAAAACAATGCAATTAGAGCGTACAAAGGTGTATTATAGTGCATGTAATATCTATTTCACGGGTTTTTTGAATTCACTCTATTATGTAACTATTGTTTTCAATATAGAATGTCTTCAACAGAGGTTTCTTAATGGACCTTTATGYTGTGTGAAGAGTTGCATTTTATCCCGAAGAAGTTCTCCTTTATTGCAATGTATTGCTTTATTTCAATGTATTACTTGCGAAATAATAATAAAAAAAACTTAAACCAAGACATTGCGTTAGTATTTAAACATTTTGTCATCTGATAATGACCTTCACTCAGTAGCTGTGTAAGCTCCTAGTATGGCCCACTGAAAATCTGCAGACATATGCCATTATTTCAAAGCGGAAAAAAAAATTCAAAATATATGTCCTGGGATATAAGTAATGCACATTTTCTGTATTAGAATTTATGGATTTTTCTTGAATTTGAACTTCTAAGAAAGTTTTACTCTCTGATAGTTCACGGTTCATGAAATGAAAAACTTATAATGATGAGCGGCGGCCATTTTGGCAAAGGATCTATTTCCAGTTCAACTATAATTAATGAATGTRTACARAACTGTCAAGGATGATAGGGCTTTYGATAATTTAGTAAGTTTTCAAATGACCCTCGTAGAGGGCAAAGGACGCCTATTTTCATAGTAATCACTTCCTATATATTGTCCGCCATTAAGAAACAGCTTACCCAGAAAAAAATGAATATTATTCATATATAATATTCACACTGTATCTTGATTGTGTTTTTCCCGTTGGTTTAATTCTGTCTACGAGGAAGGACTGCAATTGTGACGAGAATCCCGCTTCCTCTCCCGAATTACGCTGTATTTCATGTCATCTTTTGCATTGGGTCTGTTTGTTCAGTTTACTTTTGGAGATTCATAGGTTCATAGGCGAAGGAAATATTTTAGATAATTTTTTGAATTAGTTAAGAGAAATTGCAAAAAAGTGCGTTTTTGTGAAGGGAAAATTTGAAAACAAGTTCAAGTCAAGCAAACAAAAAAATCTATTTCCGAAAACTCAAAACAAACCTTGAAATTTGATAAATAAAAAGCTAGTTAAAGCCAAAACAATGAGTACTGAATGCTGCACGTTTTCTGCCGTTGCATCCCAGCTAAAAATATTAGCTTTCATGATATTTCTAGTGACTATACCATCTCTGTGTAAGCTGAAGACTTTAGATAGAAATAAGTTCATTAGTAGTAAAAGAGTAGAAACATTTTTTTTTTCAGTAACTCCGCGCACGTAGAGTTTAATAGCAACAGTGCATCGGCCGTCTTGGAGTATGCCATGGAGCACCGCATGTATTCGAGTATACGAGTACTTGTACTTGTACGTCGAGTGCGAGTTTTTCTTATACGAGTACTAGCTTCTACTAGAACTCTTACAACTCTAAAAGCTTATTTATACAAACCACGGCAAGACAGTTACGTTTACTCAAAGAAATTTTATACTTGTCTTATCAATGTATCTGTAAGTATTTGCAGATTATTTGGATACATAGAATTTACATGATTTTRCAATCAGCAAAACTGTGTCAAACTGAAAGCTTCTAAAAGTAACTGAGGTATTTTTGAAATAAAACTTGGCTAGTGTGTGGATGTCAATATTTTAACTTCTTAGGCTCTCGATAGACGACTATTTCGACAACTGGACATCTTGTTTTCATCGACAACTGAATGTGGTCAGCATTACTTGTTGAAATCAAGAATAAACTTCAAATTTTGTCGTTTTAYTGTCGACAACTTGTCTGGCAGAATATGTTTTTGGTTRTGGAAACAGTTGGAAGCAAGCCTTACGGAAGGAAAAGGTTTGCCATATGTTTTTCTGCACCACACTCTCCTGGGAAACTTGAAGTCTTCAAAAATGTAAAGGAGACAWTTTTTTTCTCTCAAGAATTTGGTAGACAAAGGGCGGATACCGTAACTTCCTTTTTATGAACTCGTTACTTCCTGTTACAGTCGAAACAAAGGCAGGGATGTTTTGCTAGGACACGAGAATGATATTACAATGACAAAAACTGGGATTTGTTCCAAGATGTTTACTGTTGTAATACTGAGAGAACAGCAAAAAAGACGAATCGGTACTTCCTAGCACACTAGCACATTATCAATATTAGTAACTTATTAGAATATCTGTAGCTGAACTTTCTAAGAAAATTTAGTGCAAAGCTCCTTTTTCCTGAATGATTCTGTCATCCATGGAAATATGTTGTGACGTCATAGTGAAAGAGGGTCACCACATCGAATGGAGACGAAGGAAGTCATGCTGGACCGAACGGTTCCTTTTTTTTTTTCGCGTAGTCTGATTCAACTCACAGGTATTTAACATTGAAAGTTCACCAATTTATTCCATTGAAAAYCATGAACACCTTTCAAAATATGCTGGCAAACGTGAAGAAGTCTTTTACAACTGGCGGGAACCGCTACGKGTAGACCGACTATAATAATGGCTTCCTCGTGACGTCACTCTTGCCATAGAAACCACGTTGACCACACCATTGTACGAAGAGCGAAAGATAATAGCGTTCGTACTGGGAAAGGTTATTRTGCACGGAGCGACAAGTTTTAGAATGAATGGCCCGATGTTTTTGAAAAAAGGTCCACGGATTCTGTGATAATGCTAATTTTTCTACGTGCTTTTACTGAAGGAAGAATGTTTTGAAACTGGACAAACCGTTCCGCTGGAATTGCCCTCGAAAATTATTGTTTTATTCTTTATGTTGTTGTTTTATGGAGTGCTAAAATCACAATTTTCTTTTCTAAATGGAAAGAAAAAGTTTTTCATATTTTTAACGAAGTTGATTGACATTAAATATGAAAGAATTTTTTCAACCTTGTTTRCCGTGGATTCTAGCATGTTGAAGGACCCACACAAAAATCATATTTTGTACAGTCCAATTTCATTACTCGTCCTCTTACTGATTTATTCTTCACGCAAAGAAATCTTCAATCTCAAATGAACACACAGACACTACGTTTATGAGTCCACTTGGCTTTTGATCATTTTATGACGTCAAGAGCGTGCGAGTAACAGGGAACACAACCCAAAACCGATGTGCATTTGTTAAGTGTTTGGCTGCGAAGACAATAGCATCCCCACTGAGAGACAAATGCTGTTTTCATTGATTCTTGAAATACTAAAAAGTAAGCAWTATCCTTAGAAGGAAAATAGTATATTTGGAAAGTGATATAAACATTTAATATATGTGAGGTATAAGATGGACGTTTTACCCAGCTGTGATAATGCGTCACTATGGGGAGGAATGGATTTAAGATATTTTAGTCAATTGATTGAKCTGTAAGATAGTTCACTCACCTTTAATTATATTCAATAGTACTAATTAGAGAGCAAGTAAAACAATGGTGTAAAATAACCTTTAACTACTTTAAGCTATATATTTAGGGCTTGAAAGATGAGCTGCTGTTCAATGGTAACATCGTGTCAGCATTTATTACTGCTGATGACTATGCCTAAGGTTAATTTTTTCGCGGGCATTTATTTTTGTGGTGTAACATTGCAATACTTTTCATAACAAATTCAAACGTTATGTATATCAGTATAAATAACATCTTATTCGCATTCTCATTTCCACCATAAAATGTTATCCATGAGGTGGTCACGAAGCCAACGGATTAATGGAGTCGCCCAGGTTTTAGTGTGGATTTTCGGACTTTTTATAACTTAATTGCGGATTCGCRGGTCGAAGAAAACATAAAAACATGGATTTGATGATCTGGTGGTTTTAAATGGATTTTTCTTGCTGATATGAACGAGTTTTCTCTTGGTGGATTTGCGCGTGCAAAAGTACTTGATTTAAATGGTAGGGGGTGGGGTGAGGGTGCTGCACGAYAGGACAGCACACCTATACCAAGGCACTTTAAGGTCGAAGTAAAGGCCAGCGTTCAATCAAATTTATAGCAATAAGAGCTAGAAGTATCTAAGTTAACTTCTCCTGTTGTGTAGATCATTACGTTGGTAAACTGTCTACAAAATGCTTGTCATCAAAAAGGCATTCATTCATGGGGGAACCTTCTGGTCCGACTGCGTTGGAATGACAGTTTAATGYGGMTYCCTAAGGGGCTAAGAGCGAAATATTTCCGGRGATKTTCGTTCAGGTACACAAACGATGTCTTGCCGAGTGCATTCAGCTTTCAGCCTTGGGGCTTAGTGTATATCTCGTGCGTGCTGTTGCAGGTCTTATCGCGGCAGGGTAGTAGCATAACAACCCGTAATCTAACGAAAAACATGTTTTTACTTTGCATTTTGAAAATATTTTAATACTTCTATATATAACATTGTCTTTCAGCGATTGAATGTATCTTTACTTATATGGGTGTATATAACATTGTCTTTCAGCGATTGAATGTATCTTTACTTATATGGGTGTATGCTATGAAACCTTTGCCCCTGTATACTCACATATATTCAATATTCTTATCAAACACTTATAATCAATTGGCCTTTTTACGATTGTTTTTTTTTTTGTTCGTATTTAAGGCCATCCCAACTTTATATGTCGCGTGAAACAATAGGGGTTAGATTTTCGTAAGAAGAAAACTTGTGCTCTCTTTGGCTGACACCGGAACTAGTTTGTAGTTCCGTGTGGAATTCAACATCTGGTGTAATCCCAGATATCAGCATGATTTCATTTCATAAAATGTAGCTCACATGTTCAGTGTATTCTGGATACATTTCTCATGCTCTATAAGACCTTTAACATTTTAAAACTTTAGATTCCTTGATATTTGTTGGATTTGGATCTTAAAGGAGTTTCTAAACTTCATTTTAGAGGATGTCAAATAACTGTTATCCCTCCTTCGACGCACAGAAAMYACAGGATTTGCTTGAGGAAAAATTCTATATGTCATAGTTCTTGGTAAAGAAAGAGAAAGGRAAAGAGGCAAGGAAAAGATCATTTGGATACACTTTTATGTAAACATTTCTAGTAAGGGACTGTTCATTAAATATGCCTCAGGGTGGTCTGGAGGAAAAGTCAAAAAACCTTGGGAAAATTCGCAGTCCCCCTTACTCTATCACAATATTTTTTCKAGTCCCTCCTTCTGACATTGAGGAAAAATCCCCCACCACCCATATGTATAAAGCAATGATAATAGCTAATCTTAAAATTTTWAAAGGAGTCACAAAAAAGCAAGTGAATGCTTATGCTTATGTACTTAGACCTCTATAGTAGTTGTTTAAAATGATCATTGATAAGAAATGTATTAAAATAAAATAAAACATTGATATTATATATTATACATACTTTAATTTTGTGTTTCAACCCCCCTTCAAGTCAGCAAATGCCATTAAAGCCTCTCTTCATGTCTGTTTATTTTTCAAAGCCCCCTACTTTTCCTCCACCCCACCCCACCCCCCCTCCCCCCTAAGCGCACAAATTTATCATGTTCGACGAAGTATGTTCAATCTTGCCACAGACAGTGATATAAGTTAGGACTAAAGCATCCCTTGAAACAATTTACAATTCTTACAAGCTTACTACATTTGCACCATTAAGTCTTCCGCGCAAGGCTTATGATGGATAATACTAACTTTTCTCAATATAACAGTTGCTGGATCGCTTGTGTATTTACATGTCCTCTATAGTGAGTTAGTCTACTCATTAATCAATCAGTCATCAGCAATAGCTAATCAATCAATCATTCATCGAAACAATCAATCTTTCAATCAATCAAACCAGCAATCACTCAGTCAGTCATCATGCATGATCAATGTAATTCAATGCATGAATGCAAACAAGCAAGCAATCAATGCATGCAGAGCACTGCATTAATCAACCATTGTGGTGAATTTCGTCAATCAATCCATTCATCAATCAAACAATCAATCAATTCGTAATCATCAATCATTCAACCAAGTAATGAATTTTAAAATAATAACAAACGCAATTACAAATCTGAAATGATCACTAACAACAAATACAAGTTATTTCACAAATATCTTGGATTAATGATTTGTTATTCCATCGAAGACAGTGATCTCGTGTCAATGAATACATATTCTCTCGATAGCAGACTGGTTGGTCAATGTATGTCATTATTCAATTCTGAGCGGCGCTCTCTTGACCTCAAGTATATCATTCTACATGAGAAACGCGAGCACGATAGCTAAAATTAAACGAGATAACCTTGTAGGTTAATTATCTCGGACATGGTGGTCCGGACGATCTTACTATCATGACTGTATAATAATTTTGCTTTAATATACGCCTAATTACAAAAACGCTATCCTGAGATTTAAAGATTTAGGAAATTAGGAATGCATCAAATGAAAAAAGATAACCACTAAAGCAGAGCAATTTTTTATGAATTAATTCCTAAATAGCAAGTGTTATTTTGGACACGGTTTGTGCAAAAAGGTGCATACATTTATTTTATAACTAAATTATGTTTTTCAGTCACAGTCGGGGCAGCATATACATGAGCCAAAATATCGATATCGAGAAGGTTGTAAAACTATATCGCTAAAGAAGCGAACTAGTGAAGCTTTGCTTTGACGGGTTCACAGTATTGAGCAAAGATGTATCATTTACTAAAATTGGGTAATGCAAATAGTAACTTGAAAAATGTTTTACAGTCTCTGTAGTTCTAATGTTTTTTTCTCGAATGTCCGGGTAGTCATGGATTCTACCAAACTCCACCCATTGTGAGACTTCATTATTATTGAGTCATTTAGTCCGGTTGTGCAGCCCTGAGCGGGAATTCAAACTGCCTGCTAAAATCAGTGTAACATTGATCTTTAACAGGTCCTGAGATCCCCTCTATCATTCAGCCTTGTRGACTTGTGTCAAATCACTCAGCGAATAACATGGAACTTTTGYAGTTTATGATAAAAAGGAAGAGCTATGTAAATAAGACAGATTGAAAAGGTTTTCCGATTTTGGCTTTGATGTCTTCCTCTTTAACAAKATGAAATATTTTCTCTTGTTTTTAGCTAAGTTTAAATGTTTTATTAATTTTCTCTACAAACAAGTTTCTTGCAATTAGGTGTCATGTACTTTTCTGTTTTTTACTATCCAAATTGAAATTCTTAAACTGAGAAGAAATCGGATAATTTCAATACATCAAGAACCCGCGTATAAGAACACCTATTTTGGCGTTTCAGGCCAAAAGGGTTATAATCTGCAAAATCAGCCTCTTAAGTGTTCTTAAATAAAGTTTCTTAAAATAAAGAACATACTTGGCTACCAATAGATGAAATCTATTATAGATATATTCTGACGATCTTAATTAATCAATACAATGATGTAACTATCTTAAATTTAAAAATATTGATAGATCAATGTGTGCAATGAAAAGTAGTGTTGATCTTTGATATGTTTCGATATAAGAACAACTTTCATTTTCCAGTACGCTGAATGTGTTCTTATATAAATGGAACTTTATTTCCTAAAATCAGKCCTGGGTGTTCTTAATCCACTCGTTCTTATACGCGGGTTTTTACTGTATCATTGATTACTCAGTTAATAAAGATCTGAGTTGTATCTTTCAATGGCACGCGTTCCTGAGGGTTGAGCGTCGCGTTCTTAGAAGTTCTTAGGTTTTCCAAATTAAGATGAACTATATATAACACGCTCTAAATAAACAGTCTATTTTAGGAAGTCTTATATATGAAATGTGAACTGTGCACCAGAAGCCGTCATTTTAAGCGTTTCTTAATTAGATATTAGTTTATATTGATAACAAGAACTTATCAGGTTTTCCGTAAACTGTCAAAAAAGCAAACTAATAGAAATAGAGTGTAGACACTGAAATCATAAAAAGGTATACTCACTAGATAGCGCTAAATAGCGCAGTGAGTGGCGTCAGTAAACCCGTGAAATGAAAATTTGAATATTGAAGTGTGATAGTCAAATAGACACAAAAGAAAACAATGTAATTAGGGCATAAGGTATGTTAGAGTCAATTTCGTATGAGTGGGAAACGGACGGTACTGTACTGTAACCRTAATCGTACTGTAACCAAATTCTAGTGTCTCATTGCTTCACAAAAACTGTGCAGACCACGTCCGGTAACTGTGCGGTAATTTCTACCGTACGTTTCCCACTCATACGAAATTGACTCTAATATAATCTATTTCACGTGTTTTTGACTCCATTGCACCAGTGTACTAGATTAGACAATAGCAAACAAAGGATATTTGCATAGACCGAAGTTTAAACATCTGTGAAATACATTTTACACTACTACAAGAAAATGAATGACTTCTCGTCTATGTAGGATGTTATGTAAAAAAAAAATTCTATTAAACTGCTGGACATCTACTAGTGTAGACCTTACAACTTATATTCTAACTGATTTACAGCCTTGACATTGTATTTCGATGTATTATGAGCGATAAATCAGGAAATTTGATCTATAAACACTGGCTACGCAAGCGAAACGTTCTACGCATGCTCTATTAACTTCACACAAAAATTAAACGAACCTAATTTTCGACAGAAAATAAAATAAAAAACTGTTTCTGCAAAAAAAAAAAAAAACTCACATGGAGATATCGAATCCATGATTTAGCTTCGTTTACTCCTTCATGTTCCGGAAAGCTTTGAATAAACTATACACCATATAACCTAAAAGATTTTATTTCTCCGTGAGGTTTCTACAATGGTCTTAGCAAGTCTTCCCGATACGGTCATACCACAGGTAACCCATCATTTTAATAATTTGAAACGACGTCATTTTTATCTTACGTCCACTTAAAAGGCTGTGGTCAACCATAATCCCTTACTAAACTTAAAGTTTGCTCTTTTATCTTTAGAATATAGGAATTGTGTAGATATTGTAAGATCTTGATCACAGATTTAAACCGAGTGCGAATGGATTTAATTTAATACTTCATTTTCAATACATGAAAAATTAATCTAAAATACKATCGCATTAAACGCCGGTTGATCATGGGCCTTTAAACTATCCCAGAATCCCTTTTTCTGCAATCTCACATCAACTTACATTTTTGCAAACRAAATATAGAAACGAATTTAATAGGATTATTAAGAGAGCATAAAAAAGGGCGTTGAATACATTACCCAATATGCTTTGTTCTAAAAAATGACGTCGTTGTACATTGCTTCATAGAGAGATATCACATATGCAATGTTTTGCATGCAAATGAGTTTTGTGGGTAAAATAATATGATAATAAGTGCGAGCGTGCCTACGTTCTTCAATGAAACAGCTGAAAACAACGTCAACTRATTTTTATTGTGAAGTTGAAAAAAATAACATTTGACAAAATATAGTCTATAGGAACTCTTATAGACTTGCCACAAGTCGACCACACTGTTGGGACACTGGAGAACTCTTATTACATGCTGGAGACAGAAGGCKTGCTCGGAGGTTCAACAGGTGTTTGGCAAGAAGTCGCATTAAAGTAGGACAAGTTTTTAAGGACATAAATCCTATAAAGATATAGGAACGTTGTTTTCAGCTGTTTCATTGAAGCATGTAGGCACGTTTCCACYCATTATCATATTTTTTTAGTCACAAAAATCATTTGCAAAACATTGCTTATGCGATATTGCTCTTTTATGGCTATTATTTCTCTACCCATGTCACTCCAAAAAAAGGATTTTGCACCAGCTGCCCTCGCCAGGAACTCTGCTTACGAAGTCTCTTTATATACAAACTGAATGTCGAGTAGTAYGACCCGATAAAATTAGCTGCATGAGCACAAATTAACTGCTCYGTCAGTCCAATAACATCCTGAGGAATCGTTTTGTGAACGCTGTCACTCTCGAAATTATCCGAAAAATTTGTAGCAAACAATAAGTTAAATCCCGCTTCCCTGAATGGTTCAAACCACGCAAGGTTTTTCTCGTCGGTCGCTACGTAAAGCGTAGATGAAACGTTCAAGAACTGCCTTCGCTTTAATTTAGATAACCAATAGTCTTGGTTTATTGATTGACTTGTTGGATGGTCAGTTCTGCGTATGTGTATTGCATTGTATGGAAAGTGAACRCGTTTTTTGAAATAACGTAAGCGACGCCATATCGGAGGCGCAAACGTTACATACCAGAAGATCCACTTATGTGTGTCAATGGTCCTTTCTTTGTCAAAGAAGAACATTCTACGGAAATACATAGATCCTTCATCAAAATAGATAATGTCTTCGTTTCGGTTGTATAACTCGTCAATGATGCCCCATACAGATGTTGTATTGTCTGCATTAATGGAGTCTTTAAGACATATTCTACGGTAGCTGGGAATATTTGTCGGGTTTGTCCAGTTTATTGTAAATTGTCGTAGAGCTTCCCATGATGCTTTGTCTTCATTCCTTGGCAAGGAGTCTACCCAGATACCTTAGAGAGTAGCAATAGTTTAATGTTTTAGAACAGTGAATAGAAAATACTAACAAAATATTTTTTTGCTCGGTTTGACCCTCGCCGCGCCCACCTTCCTACACCCTTTCCACTATTGCAAAGTCATGCTTGTGGTGACATCTATTTGGGGAAGGGTGTTGTAAGGTTGAATAGAGCTACAACAGCAGAAAACTCCTTATCCAACACTAAAAAGAGTGTGGATTGGATAACTTTATTGTTGGATAGCTTTATCGACCTTTCGTTCAACCGGCCCTTTGACTTCAAAAGGATTGGATTGGATGGAGAAACAATCTGCCTATCCATTCAATCGAGGGAATGCCTAGGTCGGACCTCTTTACTCTGATATCAAGGGAGTATGACCTTGRTAGCGATSCATTCTGTTATTACGCCCAYCCCTCCCTCTTTCTCCCTCCTCCCCTTCTCCAATCATAATCACCTGTTAGTCCATTGTGACAAACAATTTTCTTCGATAGATGAGCATAATCCATACGAAACTGATTGTGATTGGTACGAATCTCTTTGACTGGAATAAGCTTGGACAACCGATGCAAGTCGATAACGCTGGAYAATGGCATCAACGCATCKCCCTCCAAAGCATTATAGGACTCGAAGTTTAAACTAAACTTGAGCCGTTTYCTGATGTCAAGACTCTTGCTATGCAGTGCCATGGGATGAACAATCAATGTTCTATTTAACAYCTTAGCTAGTATAACTGCATTTTCAAAGGCAATTCTTTGRTTGTTCCATCCTCCGCCAGGAGGCTGGTAAGTCAAATACTTCATCTTGGACCCTCGATAGCAAACTACTTTACCATTTAGATATATAACCTGTTCATCTTTACAAATATGCCTAGCTCTCCTTCCAGGCAAAGAGAAATTTGGCTTGTACAATATTACTAGCATAGTTATCAATATAGTTAAGATGATTTGGAGACTTTTTGATTTTCTTATTCCTCKTAAACTGTCATGGCCTTGAACAGCTGCCAACGTCCTTCGAAAAGAAATCTCTGGCATGAATTCCTTCAAGCTTAGAGACCATTTGTCGGTTTTGAATGTGGAACATCTATGGCTTGTRTGTAGAGGAAGTGTAGTTGGTCGCTTTGGCGACTTATTTGCCATATCATAAACCACTGAACCCACGAATGCAAGGGGTCATTAAGATGCGAGTACATAAGCAATTTCCAAGCCCAGCTGCTTTGGTGAGTTTAGTCAGTTGTTTCAACTTCCAGATAGTAATGTAGTTTGATTTGAAGTGATTTTATAAGTAGAGTTTCTTGGAAGTTTAAGACATTACGTACAAAAATTGCTATATGTAAAACCGCCTGACCATTGTTTTATAAATTGTTACAACAATACAATCCGCTTGTTGTACCTGCTATTTTGTCTTATTTTCGTCGGCTTGTACCCAATCATCCGTCAGGAAAACTACTGGTTCAAATGCATCGCTCTATTGCACTTGGTTTATTGGGTCTGTGACCTCGCTGGTTTCGGTGCGGGGCCTTTTTTKCCACTCGGTAAACTCATGCGAGAGTATAGAAKATATACGGCTGTTGTTTCGWGACCATGCAAGTATATTTTTGCATAGCATTTATTGATTATAGCATTTTAATACGCATTGCAACTCCATTTACAGCAATATTAGAATATCAAGTTGTAATCAAGAAAAAAGTATTTGACTGAATGTATACAAAAAGTTATATATAGGATTGTATTTCTGTAYTTCCAATGGTTCTTCTTTTCGAGACTTCAAAGGATTTTGGAATATGACTATCATCACTATATAATTTGCATCTTGTCATTTATACACTAAATTTGAAAAATTGTCAACCTTGCAAATCAATTTTGCTTAATTAACCTGTTCTGYTCAAGCTAAAAATATGTTGTGTGAATTAAGAGAATTTGTGGATTTTGGTGCTTCTCTGCATGTGGCCACTCCTCTTTTGCATCTTTTAGGGGATGTTAAAACCCATAGCTTCTCTTTCGAACTTTAGAAATATATCATAATATAAGCAAAATAATCCCTTTAAGTTATTAGAATAATCCCTTTAAGTTATGTGATATTTCTTAAGATTCAACCTTTTTAAAAATCGACGGATGGAAATGGATTGCGAACGGTTATTTGAAATCACACCTCATWTTCCACATACGAAAAAAAATCTAAAACACGAGTGCATTGAATGCTTGTAGACCATGGCTTTTTAAATTTAATTCCTTTTCATGTTTTAATAGTCATCTTTTGGAAAAACCTTCTTCGGGATGTACTTTCTTGAAATCCTTTGCATATTGTGTTTCTGAAATCAGAAAATTTCAAAGAAAAGGAGGWGAAAAAATAATTCCATCATCTAAATATCAGTTCTCTGAAGTTTCCCCAAACAATCCTCCAACTCCGCATCATTTCTCGACGCTGGCCAGGAGAAACGTCGGCTCTAATGACGTACAGGATCGTGTGACTCTGACAAATGYTTCATTTGTATGTGTAACGAAGCCCGCGGTCCACTTGCGCCCGTGGTGCCATCCCTGAAAACTACCAGCAGTCACCCGTACTGTTTGTCAGATAAGGCATTCAACAATTACGTCATATGGAGCCGAGAGAAAACGTTTTTAGAAGCGTTAAAAGCAGTATTGTGATCTCATATAGAAGAACATGCAGACCATTTTGAGGAAATGGTCTTTTGTGCTTCCTTRAACCTCTGTTTTGCCTTGTTCGTGTTGTTTTTTACTATTATTATAACACTTGGCTGTTGCTCGTGTTGGTTTGACTATTATTCTATGACTGTGAATCAAAAGAAGTGTAAGGACAAAGACACATGGTAGGTGATCTCTTGAGTGTTGTTCGGTGTGTCAGTTGATGGTACATAATGGTATWTGTTTCCATTTAAAGCCAAGTTAAGATTGAAGATAGCCAACGTCTTTTGAAGTAAAGGAAGGTACTTCTCGTACAGGTAGTTCTTTTGTTTACAATGTCATGTCAATTATAGATAAATATCTCCTCCTTAATTTCATTCGAAACAAAGGACTTATCAATATTGAGTGGTACTAATATCGGTCAATCAACTTTAATTTTTCTGTGTCAGATCTATAATTTCCAACTATTTCATTAAAAAATTGGATTCCGTAGCGATAGGGAATATTTCTGAGATCAAATGATCATTTTATTTATTATATTTGTACATCTATCATTTAATTGATTCGCATTGGCCAAAATTTTTTAAGGTCCGAATCCGACAAATTTCAAGACCAAAATTTGGTTTTTAGATCTTCATTTATTATAATAATATGGTTGCATATTCCTTCACATTTCAATCACCAAATCAAACTAATTCATTCGATCCATTTTGATTCTCTATAAATAATCTTTTTTTATCTTTAAGTAGAGCAGCTAACTCCTGTTCTAGTTATAYATGACACAATCAGATTTTTTGCTTGAATTGCGATAAAATGTTTTATTTGCGCAAGACTTGGACGAGTGATGAAATTTCAACKCACGTGACAAGTAGGCCATCGCAATTTGGTACTGTACTCTCGCATCTCTTACTAAACGTCATTGTGATTGGCTGGCCCGAACAATAGGCTCTATATTGTTTCTGCTTCGCTCTTTGATTGATTTGAAAAGTTGTTTAGCGAAACGAAATTACCCATAATGCACTTAATAAATTATGCATGTCGGAGCCATCAAMATTTTAGCCAATGACTGCAAATTAAGATAAGTACAAGAGAGATTTCATATATTGAGTGTTTGATAGAAATMATGAGATTYGTTSTAGGGATTTTCGGCTCAATGTAGTTCTTTRAAGAACTGGAGAGCTCAATCTTCATGATCAGTTTCCTATGCTGCCTTCCAATGAGCAAGAACAKYGAAAATRTAATTTAGACGCATGYGCSTATCGGCTTACAACGAGTATTAGGCAAGACCACTGTGCAATTATTTCTAAACAGAACTTAATTTTATGTTATAGAAATGAAAGAAAGTTATAGTGCTTAGAAGGAGGCAATTCCGGGAGAAGTCCCTTAGGAATAAATTCGGAAAAATTAATTTCCGACCTCGCTGGGATTCGAACACACGACCTTCGGATTTGTACACCGATGCTCTACCAGCTGAGCTACAAGGCCAGACTGGGAGCAGGTCGGGGTGAAATAGATGTTAAGGTTGCGGTAATAGAATAATGTAAAGATATGAATATGAATTAATTTTATGTTATATATTTCAGTTAAAATTGATTTGTCCAATATTACACCTAATATTTTTCTGAAAAATCTTTTTGTCGCCTGCATGTGACTGTACATATTCCTAATCGTGAATACATCTGTTACTRGCTAGAAATGACACTGGCGATTTCCATGAACGTTTTGAGTGATAGGTATTAATTATATGGTTTGATGGTCATTGAAYAAGTACCCGTTATCTCCTCTCTAGTGAGCTTGAAAACTTTCTTAGAAGGGTCGCTCTGATTGGATTACAGGCCAACATTCTGTTACTGTATTGGTGCGATTCCTTGGAGTAACTGAAAAGTTGTTAATTAGTAACATATAAAAAATCGAAAACTGATGGGCAGGTGTAAAATGCCACGAAAATATTTCAGAGAATTTGATTTGAGAAAGACAATATTCGATGAAGCGATGGAGGACAAWAAGTTCTTTATAGTCCAAGAGGGTTTGAGGGACCATAGACCAAGTGCTCAAACTGAATGCAATTCTGTATAATTTGACCAAAGATTTGAAATTGTCATTAAAAAGCTTCTGTAAGTGATTTCATCTCCAAGACTTCAGTTTTGTGAGATTCTGCGTCATCAAAACGTATGACGTGAAAAATATTCACCTTTCAGATGTGGTTCCTGAAAAATCAAACAATACGAGATTCTGCAGATTGAACACTGTATGGTGCAGGTTGTATGAGGGTTTTGTCCACTGGATTTTGAGCTATACACCTCATGGCTTTTCAATTCATGGATATTGTCCGACGGGTATGGATTTATCCAGTGGATACCCGTATTCATCCTTCAATCGCACCGCCCCCTGATCGGTTTCCATGTCCTTTGCGGCTTTTTAAGGAAACAGTTAGTGTAGCCCTTTTAGTTCAAACACTGGAGCCAGATGTACGAAGGGTGACTATAGCGCTATCCTCCGRTTAAATGTACATTGAGCTAAGACTCCCACTTGTTTATGCTAGTAAAGCGATAAACTAACCCTTTTTTTCATTCATGAAGTTGGATACGTTCTACATATACGTGTAGACATTACCCATAGTTTTTGTGTGTGAATAGTTGCACACTTAGGCGAGCATGAATGACAACCAATGAACAAACAGGTTCTTAAAGTGTCACTCCTTCTCGACCAATCATTCGTAACCTGTTTGTCACATTATCATATATTAAGGACCAATAGGATTCAAGGGTTTGTTCGCTTTCGTCATTTTTAGTTTTAGTGAACACTCACGTTTCAATGACTTTGCCACCAGGCGAGTATTTTGATTCAAATGCCACCATGCACGTCAAATAGTTTATAATTAGCCCAAAGCAGACCGTCCGTTGAAGAGAAACAGGGGCGTAAGAAAACCAACGAAAACTCACAAATAATGGGTAAATACGCATTGGTTTCT